ATTGTTTACATTTCTTTTTGGGCGTGTGTGATAGTCGTATGAGCAATAGTGAAATTGAATTTTAAGATATACTATGCTCAAACTTACGGTGGCACAAAGGTGACATGTGTGTGTTTTTATTTATCTCATGCGCACGAGATGCTATGTCGTGGCCACGGGTTACTAAGTCGTGACCACGAGATAGTTAAGTCATGGGAACGAGATACTATATTGTGGCCACGAGTTACTTAGTCGTGGCCACGAAATAATTAAGTCGTGGGAACGAGATGACTAAGTCGGGGCCACGAGAGGAATAAGTCGTTGGAACAAGTTACTATGTCGTGGCCACGAGAGAGTTTAGCGGTGGCCACGAGAAAGTTAAGTCGTGCGAACGAGATATTTAATAACCATTCAAATTACACTATTTATATAAATTTTCCTAACAAGGATGCCCCTACTTCTCCTGTCCGTAAAAGTACGTACATTCATTCAGGTTATTGATTGGTCAAAGATTTAGCGTCATTGTGACCCTGATTTCTGACCAAATTGCCTAAAAAATATTAGATGTCATCTACTGATCTTTTTAGGTTATATAAACTACAGCTTATTCTTTCTAAATCATTCAACGATCAGACAATGATTTTACATGAAGTGTCATGTTTGTCTGACCCGTGACCTCAAACATCCTCATAGGATATCTACTGTCCATGGGCAATGTCCCTACCCAATAAAATAAACCAGGACTAAGTACCTCTCAAATGTTAACAGGCCGTTGTACGTACAAAATGACCAATTCTATCATAGAATTATTCCAACAAAGGGCTATAACTAAGTCAAAATTAATGTATGGTTTATGGGCCTGATGATCCTTAAGACATGTATCAAGTTCAAAGTGAACACTTCAGTATTTTCAAAAAATTAATGTTGCACGTAAATCTTTAAACAGAAATTTTCTAAGTTTAGAAAATCATGGTGTAATCTGATTTAATTATTTCGTCTGCACGACACAGTTATCTCGTTCCCACGACTTAAACGATCTAGTAACTCGTGGCCACGACTTAGTAGTTAGTACAGTACAAACTTGATTTTTTTCTGTAGAATAAAATAAATATAATTTGGCTTCATACAAATATTGTGCTTTCAATCCTTTACACTGTAAGTGGGCAGTATGAATATACATTCGTAAACGTATAGTGTTATTACAAAAAAAAATATATGGAAGTTTCTTTTAAAGACAGACACAACTTTACTTGACCCGTAATAAGGAAAGCAGATTCCTATACATTATGTGTATGTGTTTTTGTATTTTCTGATCGCAAAATCAGTAAATACATAGCTAACATCCACGGTCTAACACAAAATTTCCTCACAGACCTAACAACGCAAAGTAGTTCTCACTCAAAACTGCTTAAAAACCAGCAATTTAAAGAAATAATAATTTTTAATGTAGGCATTGAACGAATTACAGTGCATTAAAAGTTTACATTAGTCAATAGAAATATGAGGTTACAATCACAAATTTCGCGGATGAATATCTTTTTTACCCAATGAAAAATGTTCCACTATTTCCGTAAAGCTTAATCAATGAAAATGCTATTTTTAGCTATGTCGATTACCGAATACTCCAGAGCGTAGCACACAAATAAATCTGACTGTCGAGTAATGGAATATATACATGTCGGACTGTTTTGGCGAGAAGATTTTCGCTAAATTATTTTCATCAGTGTTTAACAACAGGTTTATCGTGAACAAAATACCTCGAATTAAATAAGGATTACAAATACGAAATGAAAATTCTCAATTTTAGAATTACAATATATTTGTTTTTATTCACGCTACATACGTATTACTTCACTGTGGTGCAGAGGTAGCGCGCTCGTTTAGGGTGTGAGAGGCCTGAGGTTAAAATCCTTGTCGAGGCAACATTTTTTTTGAAGTGGCTTTTTTAAGGAAGTTGCCACGATATGCAAGGATAAAGTGTGGCTGTAATAAAAAATGAAAAATGATTTTTGATGCAACTCTAAGCATGCAAAATTCCATATGTATCAATCACAAACTGCATGTTAAACGCAGTCCCTGCGTAAGATGAATAATAGTATATAAAAATAAACTTATACAGGAAAGATCAGAAAATACCACAGAGCATGCAGCCCTTTGATTATTTAAATAAAACATATTTAGTAAGAATTTTATAGATTTCAATAAATTTCTGTGATAAAATATGTTACTGAAAGATGTGCATAGTATATCATTAAGCACAAATGTATGTGAATGTGGTGGTGTGTGCGGGATGTCTGATCTATAATCAGACACACATATGCCCAACATTTGAGCCGCGTCACGACAAAACCAACATAATGGGTTTGCGACCAACATGGATCCAGACCAGCCTGCGCGTCCGCACAGTCTGATCAGGATCCATGCTGTTCGCTTTCCAACTCTTTTACAAGTAGAGAAACTGGTAGCGAACAGCCTGGATCCTGATCAGACTGCGCGGACGCGCAGGCTGGTCTGAATCCATGCTGGTCGCAAACCCATTATGTTGGTTTTGTCGTGACGCGGCTCATTTGTAATTGACTATGCACATGTTACAAAAATAAACAACTTCCTTCTTTCCTTATTATACATGTATATTTTAATGCGTTACATACCTATTCGCCACTACTAGTGACTCTGAGACATTTATTAAGTTAAAAGGCCAATAATTTTTGCTTTTTAATGTCCAAGTCATTAGATAAGACCTTCGCAGTACCTAGGCAGGTGCTAGACAACTGGATGACAGCATAATATGTTTTGGTAAGGGAGTACACTAAGAAGACTATTGCATGAAACTGACACGTATATATTCCACGTATATTTGGGGGTAGGTGCAGCCCTTAAGCCAGGGCCTGAAACCGCCACTGACTGTACGTGTAACTGCCCCATTGCATCACTTTTTACGAGCATATTTTTTTCTATTAGACTGTATACATATATAAAATTATATTGCATAATCCTTTACTACTTGTATTTATATTCTTTCAACTGCAATGTATGTATTAAACGCTTAGTACGTATTTATATATACATGTACGCAGTATCTATACGGAAAATTCCGATGATAGGCGAATCGTGGAAAAAATTCCGTTGACATCGATAACAGAGTTCTCGCCCCTTAACAGTACATAGTTTTAATTGTTTATCATAATGTAAGATGATCAAACATTATCCACAAAGCCTCAGACACCGAGCTTTATTAAGCATAAACACTGCATAATGGATATAAGCGAAAGCTAATAGTAATCACGCCATGCGAGCTATAAGTCATATTTTAAAAAATCCATCAGGGAACATTAAATAGTTAATTTTAAATGACTTATACATTAAAGTAATACAAAAAAACTAAACCGTAAATGGTTTGTATAGAGCATGAAGAAAGGTAGCTTATGCATAAAGGTATATGACGTTAACATTTTAGTATTCCAAATGGCTTGTTCCAGTTTATTAGTTATCACTCAATGAAAGAATTGGTGACTACGAAATGTTTGAATGAAATAACGAAAAATGGAAACCAGCATAATGCAAAGTTTAAATATCATAAAGCAAGATGGAATCAAGCATAATGCAAGTTCTAATGTCATGTAGCAAGATAGAATTAAGCATAATGCAAGTTCCAATGTCATCAAGCAAGATGGAATCAAGCATAATGCAAGTTCCAATGTCATCAAGCAAGATGGAATTAAGCATAATGCAAGTTCCAATGTCATCAAGCAAGATAGAATAAATGCATTAATTCTGTTCCATATAAACCTGAGTATGTCAAGTTGATGCAGTTACATTCTCAACGTCATGATGCACAGCGTTTTATTTAAACGTATTGTGTACGTTCTATCGTTTACATTTCTACACGTCGCATATTTGAAGTTATACATTTATAAATTCAGTTTGCAATTTATCTAAGTTGCATGTTAACAGCTTCCATTTTATCAAATCGAGATAATCAAAATGCTTAATACAATTGCAGTATTTAACTCTCGGATCGACAATTAGATTTTTACTAATCTGTTAAGTAGAACCGAAGTGTGCATTGTCAAGTTTCAAAGGCTGGATTTTTGGCAACGAATAGCCTCCATAAATTTTATACGCGAGATATGTAAGCAAGAATTATTGTACAAACATGAAAATACCTAAGTGTGAATCCATGAATAGATATGCGTTTATTTGAAGATCAAAGAATAAATATACAAAATATATCACACTTTCAATTTATCACGATGCACGCTCCAACTTGCAGACATGTGTTTTACTATTATATTACTAAAGTATTCAGCTGGACTATGAAAAGGGAAAGTTGTTGTCTTCATACACAGTTGTCACACGACGGTTACTTAAGGTTCGTATATTCAAAGCTACTGACTGGAATGGGTTGGAACTTCACACACTTTAGGCCATAACAAGATGTCGCATTCGATTTAGAAGGAAAATAAAAGTATATGATTTAAGTGGTTGTTTTTCTGTTGACTTGTAGTTCTTTGTTGTTGTTGTTTTGTTGTTGTTTTTTATCCGTCTTTGATTATATTTCATTATGTCTTCCCAACCACGTGTTCATTTGTTGCTTACTTTCCTACGCACGTCAATATAATTATTAACAAATCCTTACTTCTTTTATAAGAATTTACATTTAACATATCACTAAAAATACAAAAAATATCTGAAATAGAATCTACTTTTTGTTTTTTGTTGATTTTATTTCTTTCTTTCTTTTTTTCAGAAATTCAGAAATCTGAGTAGAGCAGCCCATGAACCTGAAGAAAAGTTCTAAGTTTACACTTGTAAGTTATCTTGCAGTTGAATATGAATGTTTTCAACCTTGGCAATTTTAGCAATTTGACCTTAGAATAGAATTGGTATTATATGTACCTTTAAAAATTTTTTGAATAAGTAAAATCTTAAGGTTCCCATTAGTTGTACGAAGTGTTGTTATAGGCCTAATCATGTCATGCCGGAATACGGTTTCCGGAATAAAGCTATTGTGAAGCGTTTGTTAACTCGGATGAGTTGTCGTCTGCATAGATGTGCGGGAAAACAAAATTGTGTTTCCGGAGGTATCATGAATTGTTACTAAAAGATTAAACTTATTTCTGTATTAATCTAATTTATCTTCAATACGATTTTCAATAATCATCAGTTCATTTTAACAACACCCGAACCCCAGTAAATAACGGAGACTCTTTCAGTCCAAATGTTTCCACACTTGTATTTTTCGGAAAGTTCAAGTTGCATGCAATTGAACGTTTATTTCAAAAGTTAAACTTACTAGATGCACTTAAAAAAATGCAATGAACCTTATAGATCAATATAGATCTTTTCTTGTTTTCACGGGCCGTTATAGGGCTGCTTCCCCAAAGAAAAATCCTTTAAAATCATGCAGTTTTCCACAAAACTTGAATTTACAGTAACATCAAGTTTTTTCTCCCCCTCTCGAAAATAAACCCTGTTTTTTTTTTCTCAAAATTAAGGGCAGGGCTGCTTCCCAAAGTAGATCTAGTAGTCTACGAAGGCACACGCCCAATGCCCGAGGCATGTAAAATCCCATTCTGGCTAGTTCTGGCTTCCATAACTTTATAGATCTATGTCACTTTTATTTTGACGTGCGAGAGTAAAGTTATGAGTCAACCCTATTTGCAAAGCAGTGATTCAGATTGGATCTTCTTTCCTTAGGACAGGTGTCCTTAATGGTAAAAAAAAGTTAGGTCATTTGTCCTAAATCATAGGAAAAACAGGGTTCGACACTAACTGTTTTAACAAGGGATCCCAAAGGAATCCCTGAGATTTAATTCAGGGATTCCTCCTAAATGTCAGGGATTCCTCAGATCAAAATAGTAAAATATAAAGGCTAAGAATAACAAGGGAGTGCAGCAATCCGATTTCAAATTCTTTTTCTAAAGACCACATACATGATATATTGCCTTGTTTCAGATGCAGTTAATGTAGTTTATGAGCCCTTTGGTTTTTTTGTTTGCTTGGATTTTAACGGCACGTCAACACATAACTGGCCATATGAGCCCTTTGGAAATATTGCTGTTTAAAGTTTTAAAAGTGTTTCAAAGTGTTTACTTTACTAGTAAATATATAATTGGACTGCTAAGATAAATTAAAACATAATACATTTTTTACATGCATGTAAACAGAATACCACCCACTGAACAAGAGTTCGATTTGAAAATAAAACCTGTTTTCTCCCTGGGGTTGATAATTGTGAACCAGTTTCTGTAAATGAAGGTATAATGCAAGTGCCTGGGCAATGGGACTTAGGATTTGAACTTTTGAAGTTAAGTAGGAACTGGGGAAACATTTTTTCAGATAGCTTAGGGTTCACTGAAATAGAGCCAACATATCATCTGTAGATCTTTAAAAACTTACAGGTAATGATTAGGCTCCATATTCCTGTAAGTTCTGGTATGGATAACTTAGTCTTTTAGAAAATATTTACTTTCATGTCATTTAAAAAGAAATGTTAAATTATGATCACTTTAAAAAAATCAGCTTACTGTACACTTTTTGTGTTTAAAAGGAAATATCCCATAGATTGTTATAAATTAAATATTTTGTTGAATCTTTACTAAAGGTAAAATATCAAGAAAAAAGTTTTGTTTGCATTACAAGTAGGGTACCTTCAAACGATTTCGTTTTTAAAAGTAAAAAGTTGCTCCAAGTCCATGACAGGATGTGTAATATCCAAATTTATTGTTCTCAATTTTTACACTGAAATGTCCGATTCTTTTCCTCCCTGTGTGTATTGATTTTTTTTTGAAGTTTTGACATATGCCACATCAAAGGCACTCACCGCATACAGCAGTCATGTAGTTCAGAACACTGATTGGCCCAAAGAACTGTCAGATGAAATATACGTCATTTGGTGTATGTTTCACCTAAGGATTTTTCTTTTTTTTTGTCGGTAAATTATGCGTGACCTTGATTGACCTTAGAACACTTCAGTCTTTAGTTAGACTAATATTTTTAGCATTTAAGGCTGCAGAGTTTCAAAAAGGATTTTAAACTGAAAAGTATGGATTCTTTTTATTCTATTTATTAATTCTACTTTTGCTGTACTACAGGGAGAAAAAAATACATCAGTAATCTTTTTTTTTTTTTTTTCACATTTTTTTACGAAAATTTACAATGATCACACTTTAAATGCTGAATTTTGGCACACAACAAAAAAACAAACAAACACGTACTTGTTAACCTCGTAGCTACCGCCGATCTGCACATATTTGAAGTACACACCGCTCGTGAAAAAAATTATACGATAGATCTAATTATATTTCTTTCTTGAATTTTCACAACTTAATATTATGAAGTCAATGCATGATATAAAATTATTCAAGAATGTTTCTTTAGCCAAAATATTTTTCATTATATATCACAAATGAGTTGATAGCAGTCACTGCACGAAGGAAATCTGGCGTACATGATTCAAGAGCGTAGATTTTACCGGCGGGATTTTTCTCTTCTTTCTTGAACATTGCAGTTGTGCCAGTCTTTATTAACACTTTTCTTGAATATTTGTGATTCAATGATATTAATTCAGACAATTTCAAAAATTTACACAGCAATTTTTCAGAGATCCCAACGGAATCCCCAGCTAGGAATCACAGAGATTCCTCCCGACTTTTTGGGATCCTCGGAATCCCGGGATCCCGTTAATGTCGAACCCTGAAAAACTTCGGACAATTTCTTTTACCGGTATCTCTAAATAAGTAATGTATATGGTTGGCTGGTATTCTGATAAAATAAGGATAAACAAAATATTTAAATGCATATTCAATATCTATTTAACAAAGACAAAAGTTGCAGTCCGTCACACTGTTTCTGCCAGCTCCAATTTTTGTATCAGATTTAAGTGATCACTTGACAATTTAGAGGGTCATGCCAAACAATTTATTTTAATCAAAAAAAGAATTGGAACCACTACTGTATACTTGAATATATCAGGCCTTTCTCTATATTTTGTTCAAGCCGTTGGAAACGAAAATGAAAAGAAAAGAAAATGTTGTAGAAAATCATATGAAGATTCTCTATAAACTGAAAAAAGTTCTTTAATGAATTACCTCAGTTAGCTCCATTCACAAGCCAGTATGTACATTTACAACTTCACTTTTAATCAGCGAGTTAATTGTTTACATAGTTGCATCATGCTTACCATATTTGGTAGTATATATGCTACGTCACTAGCTGTACTGCATACAGGTAAAATGTGTAATGATTGAAAGAGGGTTGTGTAGACTAGTTTATTGTGAAAATGGGATAATTGATCAATTGAAAAAGTGAACAATAATTGGATATAGTTATATTGCCTCTCTGGGTTGCTTGAACAGGGAATTTTGGTGTGATTAACGGACAATTGAAAGAAATGAAGTTATAAAAAAATCAGGACAAAGCAGTGCATGATTTGTAAAACAGTTTGCCGTGGATTTGAAATTGGCATAATTTCAGATGTTCTGTAAATTGATGAAGAATAAATAACTGTCACAGGAAAAGCACTAATTAAATCTCATTGAGTCAAAGTTATAAAAAAAATGCGCCCAAAAAAGCCCTCTGGAAAACACAGGTCCTCGCATATTCCTCGGCAAAATAATTAATTGGGTCATTAAGCATGGATCAATTGAAAAAATTCTATTTTTATTTTCAAATTAGCCTCTTTCAAGATTTACACAAGTAAAATGAAATACTAAATCGTTTTTTGTTGCTTATTGATCTACAAAAAAAATATGCCAAAAGCACTGTCACAAGCTGTTGAATGCAAACAAAATTTATTCTACACGGTCAATTGATTCACCCGCAAATGTAACAGGAATGCTGATAGGCTTATGACATTCTACGTCACATATGTGGGCGGGTTACCGAATCACTTATCAATAATTGCTTGGGATTTAACTTTTTTTCGTCGATGCTAATTTACATTTTCTGCTGGTATGCAATGCATCAAAAGATTATATTATTCAATGAAATGTTGACTCTTTACTATGGAAATTCGTCGGTCATATGGTCTGAGAGATAGTATTTTTCTCGGTCCCATGGGCGTATTGAATTTAATTTTCCCGGTCATCCGTGACTTTTATCGGCCATGGGCCAAAGGGCCGACCCAATCTGAATCACTGCAAAGGCGACCAGAATTTTGACAGTTCATTAAAACCTATTAAAATCACCCTTATTAATCAAATTTGGGTCAAAAAGAAATAGATATACCATTTGATAAACAAATCAATTTTGAATTAATTGATGTTTTGTTTGTAAATGAAACTTCAATGACATTGTGTACGGGGAAATATGTAGAGAAAGTTTACCAATATGGAGTCTGCTTTCAAATGAAATCTCGCAAAACTTCAAGTTTTGGCAATTCTAGCATCTATTTTTATTAACGGACCATAAACTATTTTTAGTAAGTGTACAATTTTAATAAAAACAAACAAATAATTCATGAATCATCACTCAAAACAATATAAATCCAACATGTTTTTGGTACAATGTTATTATATAAATACACTGTTATTGACATAATTGCAAAGTCATGTTTTCAATTAAAAAATAACATTAGTTTCACGGGTCACCAAAATGTCATGCAAAGGTATTGGAACCTTAATTCAAGCTAGTCATGTGATAATAAGGGCAGCATTATCGAAATGCGAACCCACTGATAATCTTTGAGACATTATTTCATCAACGCTTTTCCGTGCTTAGTCCGCCCAGAAAGCAATGATTCCATCCCCATTCCGTGCCATTTACGCCCAGAATCCATGCCAAAATTTTGTACAGGTGGCGAAATTTAATGTGAAGACAACACTACACAAATGTTTCCTGAAAGTGGAGGGTTTTTTTTTTGCATTCTGCATTTTATACAAAATATTCTCAAACTATACATTGGTATATTAAAACAAATATCTATAATGCCACCTGAGCTAGAAAAATATTTATACCCGATGGTACAGCATTGTTCAATAATTTATTTCAGACCTGACCAACATTTTTTTCAGATATCTATCATTTCCTACATAAAAATAATTTATTATCAGCTGATTGAAGAAATGGAAATCCACCAAGTAGTAAAATGTGCTGTCAGTGTTTTTTTTTTCAGTTTTGGGGGAAGGGGGTCAGTGCCCATTGGGTGGGGAAAAATAGCGCGTAAATGCCAAAAAAGGGGAATTTTCAGTGTTATTAATATTCAATAAAAAGACTAAAAATACATGATTTTTTAAAAATCCTATAAAATAAATAAAACAACTAATTGAAATTAGTTAACAACTTTATTAAATGAGTGACTTCAGTTCAGTTTGATTCAGTGCAATTTCATTTCCCTACTGTCATTATCAAACTCATTGATGACAGCATTCAGGTCATCAATGTTTAAGTGTCCATCATAGTTGCATATTCTTATCAGGTTGTCAAGACTGTTTTGTCCCAGTCTATTTCTGTGAGGAGTGCACAGTAGGTTCATTAAACTGAATAGCCTTTCAACGCAAGCTCCACCAGCATATCAATAGCCATTATTCACACAGATTTATTTGTTATGAAATTTTGCATACATAATCGTAGTTTCTATAATCATAATTTATCATTTCTTTGCACTGGCAGACAAGTTATTTAGTGAATTGATTGGAAATATTTATATCAATTGTATTATCAGAGCTCCAGATAATTTTTTTGGCCAAGGGGTTTTTACCCCTCAAAATTTAGAGTGAGGGGTAAAATGCAAATTCTGAAAAACTTAGGGGGTAAAATCTGTCAAAAAAGCATTTTGCATTTTTTATAAACAAATTAAACTTATTGTTGTGTTTGTTTGTTTGTTTATTTTCTTTTTTTTAGATAAACCTTTACAAATTAAATACTGATTTAATGTGAAACAATACAAAACATGTCATGTAAAGTCAGACTTCCAGAGTATACTGGAACTCAAGTTTAGGATACACAGCAAAATTATCAGGGCTTCCATTTTCAAAATTTGGAAGTCAAAGACTTCAAAATCTCTGATATTGGAAGTCACATAATATAGGTAAAGAAGGAAAGTATTGATTTTTGGAAGTCACAGGCCAATTGAAGGAGTAAAAGACTCCCAAACTTCCACTAGTGGAATCCCACAAGTTATTTTATTTTCTAGGAGTCAATATTTTTCTTTCTTTATTTTTGTTGGCATGTACCTTATCATGTACTCCAGTTTGAACAATTATAGTTGAAATTAGAATTAAAGAAACATAAACAAGATTTTTTTATCTTTCCTTAGAAAAAATATTGGTCTGAGAGAAAATTGTCCGTAACTGTAGACTGGGTACGAAAATATTGAGTACAAAACTGCAGGTGAATAACATGTTATTTTGTTCCAACAACTAAAGTTAAAGAAATTAAAATATATTTTTGGTTATATTGAGTATGTCAATAGATGCCTAAACTAACTTAATACTGTGTTAACTCCTACGATGATTATCTGGCACAAATTTCATTAATAATTTCACAGGTTGATAGATCTACGGGAGTTACCTCCCTTCTGTATTTCCTGCTACTTTCGTTTTTAACATGCGTTGTTGACAACAGAATTTTTAGTTTTCAATGCAATTAAATGGAAATATATTGTTTTTTATGCTCAAAACATTTTCTTTCTACATATCAAATGTTTACACTTCTATTCTTTTACGCATAAATTTTGACATACGAGCGTATTTTCATTTTGTTGTGCGTAACTGTGACGCACGAATTTTGAAAGTGATGCGTATTTTAGATTTTCTATGCGTATTTTACGCTTATACGCACGCTATCTGGAGCTCTGCATCACTATGGCAACATGTTCAATGGACTGATTTATTATCAATAAAATAAAGAAGATTTTCAACATAAAATCAGTTTATTTGTAATAAAAGAACTTTATTTATTGTATAAATTTCTATTAAAACATTCTTCTCCATAATATAATAATTTAAAAAATATATTGATAAATTTACTACTAATTTACAAATTAGAAATGAATACTTTGGAAGCATTATGCAAATAAATAAGTATAGTAATGACTAATGAGCAAATATAAGTATTATGTTATGGAGCTCATAAAAACAGACAAGAAATGTAACATTTATGGTGCAGAGGTGTATATACATCAGAAATTCATATTCATTAAAAAAAACTTTTATTTTCCTGTTGTTTTTTTTTAAAGAAAATTTCAAAGAAAACAATAAATAATTTATCTTTACTACAGTGTCTAAAAGTAAGAAAATATTAGCCGGAAAAATAATCGATGAAATATGAATGAAAATTGTTATATGTGTGGATTAATTTTAGATAATTTCAAAATTATATATAATAATTATAAAAATTATATATAATAATGATATAAAAATAATTACAAAATAAATACAAAAACTGTAAGGTATTAACATTTTTGTATTTCTTAGGCCATCCATAAAAAATTGTTTGTTTGTAGTGCTCCGACCGACCCATGAAAATGGCCCCGACTCTAAAAATTTTTTACACCTTCGAGGATTTTTTTTTTTTTTTTTAGATCATCATTATGTACCCATTCTGTTAAAAAGAACTTTCTCCAATAACTTTTCAGAAAAATTTTGAACTGAGAAGTAGAAGAGTAAAAGAATTTTATTCTAAAACCAAAATAAACGCACGCTTTTCATCGATATTTTGCCAAACTTCGACCCCGAACATCGGCGATTTCACATTCGCCAGAAATCTTAAAATTTCGCAAAGGGCATAAAAATTCTCAGTTTCCAAGCCAAACATGTGAATGAATTGTTCTTTTGTTAATTATTTAACATTAAATCTTATAAAAGTCGATTCCCTTTCGAAGATATTAGCTAAAATAAATGCCGATCGGATGAATCTCTTACACACTGTGTCAAGCTGTACTCGATTTTCCTATTCATTCCACTACTGTAAATACTGCATATATATACGTACACGGTAATGATGCCCTATTAAACCAGACTAAAATTCGATTTATTTTTGGTATAAAAGTGAAAAAAAAAGAACGATTGCAACTTTGTTATGTGAAAGTGGACAGAAATGGTACCCTCATGAAAGTTTATTTACATGAGTTGACATATCTAACTTGAATACAATTTGATTTTTTTGGGGTATAAAAGTGAAAAAAAAAGATTGCAACCTTTCTTCAAAGTTAATATACATACATCAATGAATGTTAAAATGGATTACCCTCCGTAACCATAGGCCACCACTGTATACATATTTTTTTACACAAAATACCCAAACCAAAATCGCAAGCTAACATTGCAAGCTTGTCACAAGCTTGCTGCAAGCTTAAGTTGCAAGCTTGCTACTGGCTAGTAATTGGAACCTTGCGGCAAGCTTGCGGCAAGCTTGCGATCAGTTATTTAAAAAAATCTGACTGCAAACTAGTTAATATTTAAGCTTGCGCAAGCTTGCGCAAGCTTAATCGCAAGCTTAATCGCAAGCTTGCGCAAGCTTAATCGCAAGCTTGCGCAAGCTTAATCGTAAGCTTGCGCAAGCTTATTTGCAAGCTTGCGCAGGTTTATCTGCAAGCCTGCACAGGCTTAGTCGCAAGCTTGTGCATGTATAACTACAAGCTTAATGTATAAGCTTGCGCAAGCTTAATCGCAGGCTTGCAAAAACTGTAAACCCTATTTGGAAAGGGAGCTGCTACGTATAACAGTCTCTGAATCCTATATAACATGCAAAAAAAAGGCATTGATTACCATGATAAACTTATTTAATCATAAATTGTAAAAAGAAGCTGATGTTAAATTTTTCATATACTAATGTTTTTCTTCCAATTACCATGGTAAATAGTCCAGCCTTGATGGAATGACATTGAAAAAATCCAGCCTAATTCCGGCATCCCTAAATGTTCTTAAAATGTAAAATTCTGGGATGGAATTCAGCACAGGAATGTTTGGGGTAGAATTTTTATGAGTTTAACATGATCACATATTTCTTTCACAAAATTTAATACATATCCTTTAGTCCAAATACAGAATAGAACACCCTGCATTCACTATAACACAAACAATTTTTTTCTAGCTGCAGGTTTTGGTAGGTTCTTGTTTTCTTAGAATCCAACACTTTGTTTTAAGCAATTATTTTGCTCTTAGTCTGTCAGTGACAAACTATTCAATTTTAAATTTGTTTTAAATGTTTCTGATTATTTAAATTACTATTTCTTTTATCGGTGTCCATTTTTAGTCCTCTGCCTGTGTTTCCTAGAACTTCTTATGGTTGTGCTGACCTTTAAAGATAAAATTCATAATTAATTAAATACAGATGCAGTAATGAACTATGTTTTATTGCATAAATGCAGTTATATTACATATCTTTTAATAACATCGAATCTAATGTTTCAACAGTATTAACTATTAAATATTAACTATGCTTATGCATTTTCAAAAAATACTAAAGCAATGCAGTATATCTTATTTCAATGTGCACAAATGTTTAAGAATTTCTCTGTATGAGAATTAAGTAAATTTGTGACAATATTTATTACCCAGTATGTATTTTTTCAAGAAAAGATGTGGAATAGAAAAGTATTGAGATTTAATAATATACCTTTTCAGGATTAATACTGCACATCATTATTAAACTCTGCCGCTATTTCTCACAGTCAGCACCAGCCTGCAAATTATTTATGTATAATGTAATTTTAGATTGTTCCATTGAAAACACAACACATACATGTAAAATAACAAATGATTATGATTGACCCTGCTCAGCTGTACAACTTAACTACTGATTGTACCAATAAGTCCTATTTAATCAAATTTATTTAATTTGTTTAATTTGCAGGAAATGAAAAAGATCTACTAACATGCCATTTAAACAATATAAACAATCATTAAAAAGAAATCATTGAATAATTTATATGTTACAGATTATACATGTATAGATTAAAAAGAATTATCAGAAAAACAAATGCATGAAGTTGAAAATATAAAAACAACCTTGATCTCTTGTTACAAATGTTAATAATTTGATATATAACCTGTTTCTGCATTAATGTAACTTAAGGTTTATAATTACCTGATTCTGTTGTATATATCCTTGTCCCAGGTGATTCTGATTGTTATCATACCAATACTTAAACACTTTAAATGTTAAACAAAACAATATCTCCAAAACTGCTAAAATATCAAGTACATCCTCTGCTCTCTTTGCTGACCCAGATATCTTAGAATTCAAATCTTACAACAGTTACTGTAAAACTGGACAGGTCTATCATTATGTAAAGCAGGGTTAATCTACTCATCATTTTAACTTTCATTCTTTGAGCGTAAAAGAAAATATCAAATATCTAATAGATATAAATATTTTAAAAATCATTACAAATTTTTGTACAAAAAGATTGCAATGTCCTTCTAGACACATTCTGCATATGAAATTTATAATGTTATCTCTCCCCAAAATAATCACATGGAACAGCCTGATCTGTCTGAATGACCAGGGAGTAAATTAGTCATGCACAGATGGTCAATGAATTTTATCAAGGCTCTGATGTGTGTAGCGTAAAATCTCAGTGGTGGAGTATTTATTTTCCTAAATAAAAGCAATATATTGATTAATTTAATATAGAATATATATGAGATTATTTCATGCACTGTTTTTGTTTTGTTTATTTATTTATTTATTGTTATCCAAAAACATGAATTCTTAGAATTTAAAAATGGCAAGCAATGCAATCCCATCTTGATTATTATAGTGTCTGAATGATTGAATCACAGACTTTAATTAATTTATAGTTAAACTTAAAGCCTGTAATTAAATGGATATTATTTCATTGTACATAACTTCATGTAGATTTATTGAAATAATAATATGTATTTAACAATCAATTCATTTACTTCTTTTGCACAGACATTTTTTCTGAGATACCCTTTTCCAACTACATGAAATGTATAAAGTGTCAAATTTCAAATCATTTACAGTAACTTGCATTAAAATAGATGATGATTTTATATTTTCTTCGTAAATTTACAATACTGAGCTGAATATATAAAATAACTAATAACTAATAATAAACTTTAGCGTGGTGATTTAGTTAAACTAGTTAATTATCACTGATACTATCATTTTTGGAATTTTTATTTTAATGTGTACACTTTTGACAAAAAATTTTCTAAGTGTTTCAATTACTTTCACAAGAAATTTCTAAGTGTAGATTTGTACAAAAATTTTCTAAGTGTCTACTAATTGCAAGCTTGCGGCATTGCAAGCTTACATCAAATGTTTGCAAGCTTGCATGAATTTTAAACAAGCTTGCAATATATTTCAAAAGTCATCGCAAGCTTGCGCAAGCTTGTTGCAAGCATGCAGGTACCTTGTATTTATGCTGTAAGCTTGCGGCAAGCTTGTGACAAGCTTGCGGCAAGCTTGTCGCAGGCATGCATTTTGGTTTGGGTAATACTAGAAGAACTTTATAGTTGACATAAATTAATTTAAATCATTTAGCCATTCAGGATTGTCAAAAAATGAGGTTACACTAAAACTTGTTGAAAAAACATGTTGATTGATAAAATTTTCGCGGGAAAATCGCTGGAAATTTATGGGTCTTTTCCCGATACTTTTCTTTATAAGAATGATAATTATTCATTAATTTTACCTTTTCCTAAATTGTAATTTAATAGCCATATTTTTTAATCTTTGATGCAAACAATTTTACAAATCATGCACTGTTTATTTTTTTCTTTTGTTTTTGTTCCTTTTTACTAGTTTGTAATTGTCCGTACTATATTCCCTTTTAAACACCCAAATGGGTTTATTAATTGTTGCTCACTTTAATCCAACTTTCAAAACAAACTCCAGGCTCCAGGACCTGTTGATTACAAACTATACATGTATACAGCAGGTGACGTAGATTTTTCTACATGCAAAACTGCCATATATGGATAAGTACACACAACTGTGTGACAGGTGTAACATACATTATGATCTATTATTATGCTGGCTAGTGAATGGAGTTAATTAACTGGGTTAATACAGTATGGTGGCAAGGTAATCTAAATTTTCAAGTGTACCCCTAAATTTTTACAAAAAACAAACAAACAAAAAAGAAAAAAACAAACAAACAAAAAGCAAACAATAACAAAAAAATCAAAGCTAAAAAATTCTGCTGTTCTTAGTCATTTAATTTCAAATATTTATATTCTAACCAGATTAATATTATTTGCAGGATAATTCCTTTAATTCAATAGTAATGAGAAATGGATTTGCTACACCCCTCCCTTCTTTGTGCATTTAGAATCTGACAAGTCAGGACCAGTAAATGAAATCTTAGGTGGTCATTAAAGCAGGTGGTAATCATTGATTTTACAAACAAAACACCTATACTTGCAGTGTAAATTGCATTTTCAAATATCACTGAAATACTGGTATTGAGACTAATTCCGTTCTATTTTCTCAAAGGGCTAAATCTGTCAAGTAATCATATTATATATATTTTTCTCAGACCACTTGTTTTATTACAGGTATTGTCACCTTTTTCCAGACATTGTTAATTTCAGTAAATAAGGAACAAGTTCAATAGTTCAATTATTTTGTTTAAAGATGAAATAAATGTAAAATAAACAACAACAAAAGTGTTACATTGTATGTCTGTTATTATTTGAAATATTAAACAAAGAAAATATCATGCACAGTATATCATGGGGGACTATAAACTGTGTATTGCTATACTCAGTTTGCTCCAACTTTGTAACAATTTAAAAAAAAAAAAAAATCCCCTACCTACCTACCCACCTCACGAACTTAGGGTCGGAGCACTACAAACAAACAATTTTTTAAGGATGGCCTTACATTAGAACAGTTACTCTTATTTTCTAGAGCTTTCAATTATGTTACTTTTTCTGGATAAAAAGGAATGAAAAAAAGGTCATCAACTAAATGTTTTTGTAAACAAAATCAAAATTACTGTCTACAATTCAGTAGCTCAATCAGAAACACAGAAAAGAACAGTTCAAAGAAATCAAATTCATTTGAGTCCGAATCAAGATCTGGATTTGGGCCTGTGAATGGTCTCTTAGGCAATTCTGACCGATCGTTTGTCTTCCACTGAGAATATTCAACATTTTCGTCCGCACTTTCATTTTCACTTTGACTCACAGTCACTCGATCTATCCGATTGACTCTATCTCACTTTCACTATCGAGACTAATGTCACAATCCGAATTTGCGCCATTTTCCGTGTCCGTATCAAACATAATGTCAAATAAATTCTTCCGATTTTCCATTTTTTTAACGCAATATAACTTTTTTTCAGAAAGAGATATTTCGATAAAATTTTCACTTTCGTATAGGTAATCCTTTATACTATACATATAACGCGTTTCCTGATTGGTCAAATTACCTCAAATCTAAATATAACCCGAAGAAACAACCAATGAAATGCGCCGACATAACTCGTCACGCGATATACAGTAGTAGTTCAATACGCGACGACTACTCTCGTCATGCGGGATAGCCGATAAATTTTATACGACGACTATACTCGGCGCGCGGTACACGATAACAGATAAAGACGACGACTATACTCGGCGTACGGGTCGAATGAGTTAATGAAAATTGGCTGACTGACTTTCTGTGCATTTGTGCCATAATTTAATCTTGTTGATGTAAATTAAACATAAAATAAACTGTTGTCTTTATTTTGCACAATATATTAATTTTAAAATGTTTTGAGCCTACTGTAATGATTATCTGTCCTGGCCTATACTTTTGCCTAAGTTAAAGGCTCAAATGGCCTATGAACTAAAAAAGTTATTTCGCAGACTGCCCAACCTATGGAAGAAAAACCTTCTGTATTCCAGATGTTTGTGCTGTCATTTTTCTACTCATTTATTTGAGATTTGGATCCAAAGATAGTTTAAAATGGTAAATTTGGCTGATGGCTAGGGGTGTAACAATACGGCAAAAAACGTATTGCAATATATTGCCACTTTGCCGAAGCGTATTGCAATATATTGCAATATGTATTGTAGTGTTTATGTTTTGATGTAAAGATGGGGTAACATTATGATGTAAAGATGGGGTAACATTATATATTTTTATTAGGGCTGGGTATTGATCAGAAATTTTCGATACGATACGTATTGCGATACAGACCAACGATACACAATACGTTTTGACGATACAGTACAATGATGCTTCATTGTTAGGATGTAGTAAAAGTACTATTTACATTTCATAGATTCCCTCGTGAAATATTATTGAATCTTTCTTAATATCTGTTTTAGATTTTGACTTTGTTAATGATGATATATAATACAGAGCAGGTGCTAGTACATTTGAGATAATATTTTGAAAATGACATGATGGCCCCCTTTTTTTAGATAAAACAATTATTTAAAAAAAAAAAATTGTAGAGAAATAATTCAATGCAAAAATATAATTATGTAAATACTAGGAAAAGTTAACACAGAAATTAATTAAAACATCACTATTTATTATGACAGGAGCGTAGTGCTGTCTACAAGTCAACTGTTCTAAATTATAAGATCTTTATAATAAAATCAAATTTTTGTAGAATTTGAAATATATACGCTGAGAAAGTATTGGAACATTGAAAAATTTTCTAACAAATCATGTTTTTTTTATCTTAAACGGTAAAATTACAATAAAAATATAAATATAATGTAATGATGTTGCGGTGTCGTAATCCGTAACGTACCAGGAAACGGTGTATAGCTACGTCTTCGCGCAGTCACATTTATTTAGTTAGCAAACTACATCTTGGAAAATCAATAAATTTGTAGGATTTATGTGTTATGATACAAGATGTGTTTGATTAAATAAAAAGTAAGTGGTTTGGTCTAATACATACTACTGCCAACCTGAAAGTATTTTCTACCAGTGTTAGAAATAGGAGATTGAATGGCCGGATAAATTTTGTCACGGATTTATCCGTCATTTTGTGTATGGACACAATCGTTGTTCCACCTGAACTAATCAATGCAGCCTTTCAAATATTGCTGAGGGCCTTCTTAACATTTACTTTAGAGAAAATTCCACACTTTTGACGTTTGAACGGACATTTTAAAGACGATAATTTTAATGTAAAGCCATCATGTTTATAAGTTACATATTTTATTAAGTTGTCTCCCTTTGTATCTGTATAGCTAAAACCCGATAACCGTACCGTATTGAAAAACGGAAAATCGATAAATACCGATTTACAGGTATATTGATCCAGCCCTAATTTTTGGCCGGGTTGCACAGGTGCAAACCTTGATTATAAAATTGTTATGGCAGGCGGATGGGTGGGCGGTCTGGGAAATATTTTCGTGACAGTTTTCTCAGCAAATACTTATCACAGCCTCTTGACATTTGGTATACAGCATCAAAACATGGTCATATACTGTGGGATTCAATTTCAGGTCTGTCGCTCATCCACTTCCTGTTTATCTACTTAGTTAAATTAGTTAGATTTTTTGACATTAATGGTCAATGGTAGGAAATTTTCGTAACAG